GTCTGTTAGCGCCAGATCGCATGGGTCTGGAGCTTCGCGGGACACTTCATCAAATAGACTTAATGACGGCAACCGTAGCAATGTCGGCCACCTCATCTCCAGCAACATCCCCGCTCGTTGTCCCACATCCTCCTTCCAAGCGGGATTCTTTGGGTGCGCAGCTAGAGAAACGACCACGACCCATGTCGCATGCCTCGAGAAGCCGGCTTTCTCAGTATTCAGTCGTGTCGATACCTACGAGGTCACGGCCCGACTCCCATATCTTCCCGGTGTTTCCATCAAGCCTATCGTATACGTTGGTTAGGGACTTCGCATATCCTGCCATGCACCCCCTGCACTATGGTCCTCCTCCCGAGCCGTCTGGCCCTCCATCAGGGCTTACAACTCCCGTGAGCGAGCATAGGAGGCTATCAGACCCTCCTGTTTCGTGGGATCAAAAGGTGCCCTGGGATTCATGGCCTGCTGATGGATTCAGTCGAGGACATGACATCCCGCCGATTCAATTCCGGGATGGGGATGGACCGCCGTATAGCGAGGATGAGGACCTCCAAAGCCCCGTTGTTTCCACGCGCCACCGCAAGCATAAATCTACATCCGCTGCATTGCTAAAGGCGCATCACGATGGTTACCCGGCCAATTACGACCATGAGAGGGGTTACTATGTCGGAAGGGGAGGGGATGGAAGTGAGCGATACTACGTTAGTCATGACGGTGAGGCGAATGGGCCAGGAGGTGAATATGTGACGTACCCTCCTGGCGAGGCACGTCGTAGCCGGGCATATCATTTTTCTCAGCAACCTCGGATGGATGATGATGATGGGATGGAATATGACTCAAGCCCAGTGTCATCCGCTGGCTTTCGTGGAGAGGACCAGTCCAGATATTCCCGGGATTATCAATTCACCATCACATCTCCGGATGAGGAATTCCACGGCAAGGCCGTCGCGCTATTCGATTTCGAAAGAGAGAATGAGAACGAGCTCCCCCTTATCGAAGGTCAAATTATCTGGGTATCCTACAGGCATGGCCAAGGATGGCTTGTGGCGGAGGACCCTAAGACTCAGGAAAGCGGCCTGGTTCCTGAGGCGTATGTTCGGCTTTTGCGAGATATTGAAGGTGGAATGAATAGCCTGACTGGACAACTGGGTGACGGGCCCGGCTCTCCTCATGATGCAGGGACGCCTACCCAGGCAGAACCCAACAATCAATTCAACCAAATTCCAAGCTCTGGTAATGGGACAAATGGCTACCACCAACCTGTGGTGTCTGTATTTTCGACGTCAAGCAAAGACCTGAACCCATATCCCACGGAACAACTTGGCCTGCACACGGGGCAGGTACCTCCTCAGGTGGTCCATTATCACGGGCAGAGAGGAGGTAGCCAGGCAAACACGCCTACTCTCACCCAGTACCAGGATGGCCTTGGGGGACGGGAAAGCCGTGATGTAGGGTCCAAGGCTGATGACCCTGATTCCATCCAAAGCCAAGAACAAAGGCAATCAAAGCCGGAGCAAACTGAGGACGCAGGTGCTACCGCTATGAATGAGCGGTGAAGAAGAAAGAAAAAAAGTTGTAAGAGTGGAAAATCCTGCGTCTTCTTGGCGTAATGCCGAAGTATCAGCTCAAATTACTGCTGATTTACTGTACAATACGAGAACCGAGTCGAGGTTCACCAAGGACGACACTTATGATGTCTCACTTAATTATCTTATCGAATCTAGGTATACGGCCGATACAAGAATAAGGTATTCTGCATAAATCGAGGGCCCCATGCCGAGGCGAAGACACACCATCTCCTGGCGGCGTTTCACAGGTATCTGCATGCATGGAGGATACTTCTTTTTCTACGAGAACGAACAAATAGCATGACCAGTCAGGAATGGGTACTGTGACGGCTCACCATGGGAATGTGGAACCAGCGTCGATGAATCATGGGCCTTGCTGGAACCTCAATATATTCCCAGAAATGCCTGTTTTGGATGCCCCAGTACAGTCTCAAATTGCATTTGGGGCTTACTGAGTGGGCATATAGCTATGATGGGAGTGAGATTTGCTCAACTACCTTTGCATACAGGCAAATCAATGGCGTGGTACTTCCACATAATAAGGCGACATTTGCTTTGAAACCAAATGCACAGGTGCTCTGCGATCTGCTTGGATGTACGAATTGGTATTTGGTCTTGGAAGTTTTAGATGATGGGATAGAGCCAAGTGCCTGCTTGGTTTGGGAACAGACTGAGCGTCACACAATATACTCCTGCATCCATGTTATACCCAATGATATGCCTTGACCATGCATCTTGGTATGATTATTAAACAATTGTTGCAACCTGGTGTCGACAACAGGATTCGGCAATACGGATATGTAGCCTGACAGCGGTCAAGATGCTCTCAGGTCAATGATGTCAACAAGGACTAAAGACACTGATTATATACCCGAATGGCTTTTTCCCCCGAAAGAAGAGCCACTTGGGCAATTAAATCCATTGAGGCCAATCATCCTAACTGTTTAGAAGATGGCAAACGATAGCTTGTTGGTGGTGATGGTGCAATTCGTAGGCTAGAGAGCGCGACACGGCACGTGATCTGTACGTCATCTACCTGGTTTCTCCGATTGGTAATAATGCTCGCTCAGGTCCGAGCTCTTCCGTCCTCCCCACGGCCGTAACTACGACCCGACCCATTTTGGTTCTTGTTTTATGATTGCCGAAGCGTTTCTACACCCAGTCGCTATCAATTGATTCAATTCTTCGAGAAATAGACCAATATGCTCTCTAGATCTGCATTCCGTGCGGTTCAGCCGCTGAAGATTGTGAGACTTTCCTTGTGCAGAGCTTCCCAGCCAATCATTTTGCGTTGCGCTCCGTTGAAGCTTCGCCGGCGCCCAGTGACTGACAATTGGTAGCATACTCGTCGATATGCGACCGAATCGGCTGCCAAGGGCGGATCCAACGCCGTTGTATATGGCGCTGGAGCTGCCGTGGTTGGGGGTGCCGGCTACTGGTATCTCAATGGGCAGAAGGCTGCCCCCAAGATCGCAGAGGTCGCCAAGCCCGCTTTCACCGGCGGCGACCAGGGCTTCCTCTCCCTCAAGGTCACTGAGATCGAGAACCTGAATCACAACACCAAGCGCCTCCGTTTCGAGCTTCCCGAGGCCGACCAGGTCTCCGGCCTGACCGTTGCCAGCGCTATCCTGACCAAGTTCAAGGGACCCAACGACGAAAAGCCGACCCTTCGACCATACACTCCCATCAGCGATGAAGGTTGGTTCTTTGGTTCAGGAGTCAAGATGTTGAGGTTGGAGTCGAGAATAGCAGGCTGACAGACTCTATAGACGCCAAGGGCCATCTTGACCTTCTTGTCAAGAAGTACCCCGACGGCCCCATGAGCACCCACATCCACAGCCTCGAGGTTGGCCAGGAGCTCAACATCAAGGGCCCGCTCCCCAAGTACGCCTGGTCCGAGAACAAGCACAGCCACATCGGTCTTATTGCCGGTGGTACTGGAATCACCCCCGTGTTCCAGCTCGCCCGTGCCATCTTCAAGAACCCTAACGACAAGACCAAGGTCACCCTCATCTTCGGCAACGTCACAGAGGAGGACATCCTGCTGAAGAAGGAGCTCTCCGAGCTTGAGAACACCTACCCCCAGCGCTTCCGTGCCTTTTACGTCCTGGACAAGCCCCCGAAGGACTGGAGCGGCAACAGCGGCTTCATCACCCAGGAGCTTCTCAAGACTGTCCTCCCAGAGCCCAAGGAGGAGAACATCAAGCTCTTCGTGTGCGGCCCCCCTGGACTGATGAAGGCCATCTCTGGCAACAAGGTCAGCCCCAAGGATCAGGGTGAGCTCACTGGTGCTCTTAAGGAGCTTGGCTACAGCCAGGAGCAAGTTTACAAGTTTTAAGCGTTGCCTGTATTGCAAAGTAGATGGCAGTGTAAAAAGAGGTTCCGTGTACGTATAGATCAGATAGACATCCAGCTCATGGGTATGTCCAATGGGCTTTTATCTTGATTGTGGGACAAGAGACATCCCAACGACTTCCAAAAGGAATGAATCATGGCCGATGTCTAATAGTGACGCCCTGCACTCTTCATACAGCCTCCAAAGCGGGAGCATCAGTAATCAAGGTGCCAGTGACCCGCATGGCCCAGCATGGGTTATCACCAACTTAGAGTTGTGAATACGATGGTCCATGCATAAATAACCGTCCAATGAGGCATTTCCAAGCCGGAGTCTCCATCGCCGCCCCAAGCGCGGCAACGAACGCTAGGCGTAAAGCAATGCGGATTGGTGCTGGCATGGCTGGTTCTCTCGGCCGGTGCGGAGCGAACCCCGCTTGATGAAGCTTGGTGGAGGGATGGATGCTGTACCTCAGGTTGGGTAACAGCACCCACTGATCGATGAGATTAGATGGTGAACTTAGCCATTGGCCAAAAGGTAATTAAGGAATACCGCAGGGTTCTCATGAAATGAATTATTGACGAGGACCAAATTTGTTTACTTTACGTTCGATCGCGCCTCGGCCCTCTCTAGACAGAAGCAGCGCTTCCGTTGGTCAGCACTGATTATCCGGATCGCCAGACAGCTTAACCAAAGTGCAATTGCATGCTCCTGATTAGATTAGGCTGTTCATGCAGGGGTGTTCACACGAATGAATTCTAGTGCTTTCTGACATGTAAGTAAAACACATGTGTGAGTATGAATGCATGTATGTATGAAGGTGGATTGGCCAGACCCACCAAGCTCTGTAGGGAGACTTTCTTGAAGCTTCTGATTCCGTCTCGGCTTTGCCGTCTCATCTCATCAGACAACATCCCCCCCATCATTTAGCTCCCGTCTTTTGCTGCCAGCGAGGGACTGCCAGATGCGATTTTTCGTAGACACATAGTGCCGCTGCTATCATTTTGAGAGCTACATATCCCAGAGGTATCCCACTGCACAGGTCAGACCCAACATGCGCCATGGCCAGCCATGGCTGGGACGACCTCCCACAGGAGATAATGATGCAGATACTGGGCTGTGAGTAGCCCTGCCCAGCACAAAGGGTGTACATTCTGACAACACACACCGTCTAGATCTGGATCCTTGTCACATTTCACAGCTGCTGCTTGTATCCAAAGGCGTACAGAAGCTGTGCCTTGACGATGAACTATGGAAGCAACACTCCTTCCACCAGTCGCCGTGGTACCAGGCCCTGATTACACGGCGATATTCCCGCCCAGAGTCCATCATCTTCAGAGCAGCGAACGCAAATGCAGACGAGGATGAGCCGGACCAGAGCCCCCAGGTGGCCGACGAGGACGACGAGGCCAAGGCGCTGCACCAGAGAAGCCATCGCTTGCAGGACATGGCCAACTGGGACCCCGCATTTCCCGAGGAGCGCGTGTCCTGGTACGACGAGTACATGCAGCGCTCAGGGCCGGCCAGTATTAACTGGATGCAGACCCCAAAGGTCACCCAGGGCGGCATCGAGGCAATTATCGAGTCGCATGGCCTTGCCCTGTACAGCCCTTATGACGGGGACGACGGCCTCGGGACCATGCTCGCCGTCAGCCCGTTGGAGGATGGGTCGGTCTGTCTGTGGGACGTGAAGGGCTCGAGAGGCAAGCAAGGCAGCATCGTGGCGAAGAGCAAGACGGATATTCTGTTCCAGGACGCCATGAACGATTGCCCGAAGAAACGGTCCAAGATGATTGACTCGAGCATTTCGGATCGGATTACCATCGACAACACTGGGCACAGAGCTTTCGTTGCAGTACAGAGTCGTAAGTACCTTTCCTTAGCCAGGGAGCGTCCATGATGTTTCTTTCCTCTCTCTCGATCGCAGCTAACGGAAGACATAGAGCTTATCGAGATCGATCTCAACAGATTAGATGTTGTGAGCCGGGAGTCCTTCGAATGGAGCATCATGACCCTCTCCGCAGTCCACGCCGGCGTGCCATTGACTGTGGGGACATCTCTTGGCATCCATCTCCATGATTTCCGTTCCAGGGCTCGCGTCCACCACGATGTTGTCGAGCGAGTAGACCGGGATCCGCTGGCGGATACGAATGCTTTCAAGGGCATCTTTGACCAGACGCCCCTACCTCCCTACGCATCGCTGTCCCAGGCTACACCTACCAGCATTCTACACTTGCCGCGACAAGGTTCACCTGACCTCGCCTCGGATGACATTTATGTGTCTGGGCGGTTCTCAAACATCCTCCATTACGATCGTCGCAAGTTTCCCGTCATTTGCGGGACCATTTATTCTGGGGCATTGATCAACGGTCTAGCCGCCCTACCTTACCCTTTTTCCAAGGCGGACTACGAGAGAAGGCAGCAGGGCGAGCTCAGCCTGGAGCAGATGGGGTACAGCAAGACACGGAATGGGCAGACACTCATCGCGGGCGGTGCGTACAGCCTGAAGGGGTCACTTGAGCTGTACGGGCTGAGCCCGGACTCGATGGACAGGATGACGATGCAGAGCGCATGGAAGAACCGGTACACGGCGGCGTCGTCCACGATTCTATCAGTGGCCAACCACGGGACCAAGATTGTGTTCTCGGACGGCTCGGGCCTCCTCAAGTGGTTCGAGCGGGACGGCACGACAGAGTGCCGGCGCCTGAGGATCGGGCACAGCAAGACGGGAACCGAGGGCTCCATGTTCGAGTCGATGCCCGGGACGGACGACGTCGCGCGCAAGATCCTGTCGACGCAGTCCAAGTCGGGCGAGGACCGACCGAACAGCGACAACATCCTGTTCTGGACGGGGGAGAGGCTGGGGATGGCGAGCTTCGCTGCGTCGCCGCTGTTCGTCGAGAAGGACTTCGACACGGACGACCCGGAGAAGTCGGCAGAGGAGGAGGCGAGACAGGAGTACGCGAGCCACATGCGAAAAGCACTGCAGCATTCGGCCAACGAAGTCAGGTTCATGGGAAACCTCGGTCTTCGGTAGGCTTGGGGGGGCGCATGGAAGAGTGAGGTGTTGGGCAGATTGCTGGCACTCTGAGAGGCTTGTTAGGGTTGGTTTGATAGACGGATCAGCTGGATTGGCACCTAGGTAGGCAGGCAGGGTAGGGCGGTAACAGCGCTGTTTTGTTCGGTTTGATTTGACACGATTTGGCCCGAGTAGCGAATTACATTATAGCTATGACTAGTAATAGTATCTACGACTTGATCTTCATGGCTGGTGATGAGATGGGCGGATGCGCTATGTGCGCGTGTGTGTATGTGACTGGACTGTGTGTGTGCGTGTGTGAGTTGGCGTTGATCCTAATGGCCATAAATAAATGAAAACCCAAAACAGGGGATCGATGGCCATGCAGTGGAGGGGCAGCAGTGTGAGGCGGCCAATGGGCGGGCGCGCTGCACCGCTGATGGCCAATCGAGGGCAGACTGGATTATGGATGGCCACGACTGTCTCCAGACGCTTCCCAACTGGGAGCACACTGCAGGAGCAATTGGCGTGTCTGGCTTCGGGCGGCCCGCACTGTTGATGCAGCCCGTACATGTATGATACGACACGGCGCTGGTCGGTGGTAGAGACGAACTCGATCGGCGCTCAGATCCAGTCCCGCCTCGCCTCCGTTTGATTGCCACCACGACGACGACTGTTAGTCTTAGGTCCCTTCCCCAGCCCTGTCTCGCACTTGGTGGGACCCCGAGGCAATCAATCGAGCCCGGGGCATCCCTTCTGAGCGCGATGCCATGCTGGATGCGGAGCCTGTGCATGCTCGATCCAGAAACCCGCCCGCGCCAGTGCTGAGCTAAAGTCAGCCATGCCGTTGGCATCGGCTGCAGCTGTGTGTGGTGTGGGCTGTGCCAAGAGTTGATGATGCATGCGGGCTCCTCTCGAGCCTCGACATGGCCCAGCTCGCCTCCCTTGGGCTGTCCCTGGCACCTGGTTCTTCACCGCTGGTGGGGGCGCCCGCGACTAACGCATGCCAGATCAACTCGCAGCGCACAACTGGGAGCGGACAGCATCCGCCTGCTGTGCTGGGTGGTGTCGTGTTGTGTCATTGCCCAGATCGCCGCTTAGGCTCGGTGTTATTTGATTTGATAACATCCGTCTATCTGGAATAGGGGCTGAGCTCGCTGCACCGCGCTGCACTGCACTGCGAGGCGCTCCACTACCTCACATACGTACCAGCACTACAACATGATGGAGGTGGTGAGGCGAAGGCCTACCGTATATTCCCACTCTACATCCAGGTCTCCTCCTGCTCCAGTGTATCTACCAATTAGTAGGCGGCGGGTACTATAACGAGGTACCTTCGTGGATGGCAAGGTCTCCCCAGCGTGCCACCACTGATTTGGCGAGGGCGACAATCATCTCATTCTATGTGGCTCCCGCTCGCTTGCTCACTCACCCTCTGTCCCCATCCCTTCCTTAAGCCGGCCTCCCTTCTCCCTACTATCTGCAGTCTATTAAACTTCGTTGCAGCCGCCGAGGTGGAATCTTATTTATTTTTTCCAGTTTTGGTCTTTCGGCTTACCTCTTTCGCCTGTCTGCCCATTTGCTGCTACTACTCTCTGCCCTTGGCGAAACTCCTCCTTGCCCTCTCTTTTTCCATGGCCCCGACATCTGTGCCCCGGGCCATGGCACATTGGTGTTTTTTTTTTACCTCCATCTCGGTTTAGACCCGAGTTTTCTGGTTTATTAATCTATTTGCATTTTTCCTTTGCAATACTCACGTTCTTCGCATCAGCATTACGGGGATATTGCATTGCATTCATGGTCTTTTCCTTTCTCGCATCATCGGTGGCTCCAGCTCACTCCCCGACATCTTCACCGCCCACAAAGCAGATCAGCCACCTCCTGGCTCCATCACAATCTTAGTTATTTCCCCCTCACATTTCTCTCTCAGAAGACTCTCTAGCCAGAAGGTGCTTGGAATATTGCTCGCGTTGACGCCCATCGAGCATGTCCCATGGCCGAGAGGGTCATGGGCAGTGAGAGTCGCCCTAATGCTCCCGAGCAGGGGTATTTCGTCCCCGGCGCCAAGCTGAAGCGTCGGATCAGCTATTATGACGATGTCACAGAATATGACCTTGACGGTGCCCATGAGTTGGGCAAGAGGGCAAAGGTAGAGGAGGATTGGGGATGTATCGTCGAGCGCCATTATGACCAGCCCCGCCACAACCTTCGTTGGCGATCCCCTCCTCCTCACCATCACGCACATGGGCCACATCCCCACCATCAACATCTGGTTGAGACATATCACCATCGTTCCTTGCGGCAATGGCGAGCGAGCTTAGAGCCAGACATCGGTCGTCCGGCCTCACCGACGCCGGTCCATCGAGACCAGAACCTTGCGTTCTTTGTTCTCCGAGAAGGAAACCCAACACAGGAGCCCTGTTCGGGCTATCCTTCACCCAGCTCTACATCGGCTTGTGCTATGGAGCGTACTCAGTCTGGAGTTTCCATATCATCCGACGCGTCAGATCTACAAGACTGTCAACCGAGTTGCAGTGATCATGACGCCGCCGAGCTGGTTCGCGCGCATGTTGCCTCGTATCGCCACAACACTCAATCCGAACGCATCCTCAAATCTCTTATCAACCCCAGGGCTCGTGGCTACGAGTTCCCCTTGGATAATGATGCTCTCCGGAGCATCTTCTCTGCAGCCAATGAGCTGTTCTTTGCCAACCGCCTGGTCCGCCGTGTAGCTTGGGACTGGAGCCACAAGTCTAGCTCCCAATATTCCCACCACGTCGTTGGCACCACGGCACTTAGGAGGTCGGTGGAACTGGGGGGCTACGAGACCCTCATCGTTCTGAGCTCGCCGATCCTCAAAGACACCAAATACAATCGCCGCCTTCTCATCTCGACCTTCCTACACGAGATGATTCACAGCTTTTTGTTTATAACCTGCGGCTTGAAGGCTCGCGAGGACGGTGGACACACTCCGGGATTCCACAAGATTGCCCAAATAATCGACAATTGGGTCGGGAAGGAATACCTCCGCCTCAGCGACATGGAGGCGGACCTGGAGCACTTCCACGTCCGCGGTCACTGCCAGGAGCAGACGCGATCGCAGCGACCTGGCACGAATAATGATGAATACGTTGCGCCCCGGGCGCGAAACCGGTTCGTCAGACACGAAGAGTGGCAGTGGCATAACCAAGAGGGCTTCCGAACCAGCTCTACCGCCACGAGCCCTTCGCGTTGATATACGTTTTATATCTCTTCTTCCATCCTCTGGTAGCCGGACACCAGGACGGGGAAGAGAAAACTTATGAAATGGATTGTGCAGCATATATTTTTTCCTTGCGTTTTTGTTTTCCTTTGTATAATTTTTCATTTTCAGGATGGGATTTTGGATATGAATTTGGCGGACAATTATCATGATATCAACCAGCATGGCATAACGGAGTTAAACCTAGAAGCAAATTTCCATTTGAATGAGGACGGTCGAATACCCGAATTTGCCCTTGACGAGAAACATGAAACTTAGATAGATCAACCTTTGGAAAGAATAATTAATATATTAGGTACACATAGCTACCTAACTGATAAGAATCAAAGGTAAAATTTTACCTTGGTGTATATCCTCCTTCAATAAGACAAATTCGTCACCCCATTTTATTCGTCGTTTATTCCTCTATTAAGGCAGAGAGAGCTTGCTTCCAAAAATTAAGAAAAGCGAACAACGCCATGAGAATGCGTACCGATGCGTATGCAGAAAAAAAGAGAAGAAAAAAGAAATTATGCAAAATATGGTGTCTTAACTCGGGGCACATAATGTCGTCACGTCGAGAAGTTCTTGCATCGTCACTCTACATCTATTCCCTTCCACTTGGAGATTCCCTTCTACTTGGAAAGGGGTGGGGGGTTTAAGGCGCTCCTTTGATTAATCCCTGGCTCGGACAGTCTCGACAGCGTTGTAGCTCTTTCCCTGATCACGGGAGTTGCCCAGCAAGGGCGAGCTGACATCGCCGTCCTCATCGCTGCTGAGGAGGGTGTCTTCGTCATCGTCCTCGTCGTCCTCGGCTTCGCTGAGCTCGGGGGTGGCGGTTGGGCCGTCGCCCTCCTGGATCATAAAGACGGGGATGGCGCCCAGGGCGGCGAAGAAGGCGAGGAACGCGAAGGGGGCGACGATGTAGCCGTGTTCGGCGCCCCACGTGAAGGTCAGGCCGGTGAGCGCGGGGCCGGCGGCTCGGCCGAGGCCGCTGAAGGTGGTTGCGAAGCCGTTCAGGGTGCCGAGGATGCTGAGGGAGGTCGCGGAGTTGGTGAGGAGGATGGTGGTCGAGGGGAAGGCGATGATGATGCCGAAGGCCTTGACTGTCATCAGAATGGCGAGCGCGGTGTATCGAGCGGTCGTGCCCTCGATCAGACCGCAGTAGGGTGTGAGAAAGTAGGTGAATGGCAGGATGATTGCTAGATACTGAGTGTTAGAGAGAGGGGATCATGGTATACAGGCGTGTCAGGGTTGGTGCTTACAGCAGACTTTGAAACAGTTGAGGATGCCGTATCTGGTTACGAGGGGGGAGTAGATGAGGAACTGGATGAGACCACATGCAACGCCGTACAATGATACAATGGTACCGATGGCGCCGATGTCGAGACCGAAACCCCCGTTGAAGTAAAAAGGCATGTGGGTGTTGTCTCCAGTATGCTTTTGTCGTGGGTGGTTCAGGTAGACGGGGATATTCTGGTCATACGCAACTGAGTGGAAGGCTAGGAAAGTGTAGGCGACGAGGTTGATTGTGGACTGGCGCGTGAAGACGTCTCTGAGGCCGGTAGAGTGCGGCCTAGCTGCGGAATGCTTGCAGTTCACCTTGCCAGGGACGAGAGGAGCTGTAGCCTCGCCGTCGACGAAAGAAGCGCGTCGCTGTGCGGAACTGGGATTTCTGCTCAGAGCTCGTCGAATCCGGACGCCCATCTGGAGACCCCAATCCTTCTCTCCTCTCTTTGATACCAGCGTTTCTTTGAGGAAGAAAATGGCACTGGTC